AGGCTTTAGTTTGCCATGGGACAGGGGTTCCTAACATCCTGATTGGTGGAGTGGTGGTGAGACGACGTCGTTTATATTCGAAGCAAACGGCGGAGCTTTTCTCCGGGTTTACGTCGATACGCCATTTTTGGAACCAAGCTCCTAAGTCGCTTACTGACTTTTGGATCTTGTTCCGAATCTGTGGTAGTGAGTTGCCTTTAGAGTAAAGGGCTGTGTCATCTGCAAAGAGGGCTAGTTTAACACCTTTCGACGGGATAGGGATGTCGTTGGTGAATAGTATGTACAGGAGGGGAGCAAGCACAGAGCCTTGAGGGACACCGGCTTTTATTTGACGAGTAGAGGATAGCGTGCCTTCGTGTCTAAAGCGAAAGGTACGATCCTTCAGATAGGAGGCTACAAGGTGAACGAGACGGTCCGGGAGGCCTAAGTCGTACAGTTTGTAGATAAGGCCCTCGTGCCAGACTCTGTCGAATGCCTTGGCAATGTCAAAGAAGACCGCGATGGTTTTTTGACGGCGAGGATAAAAACCGCTGAGGATGTATTCCACTATGCGGTGAACTTGCTGGGGGCACGAGTGTTTGGCTCGAAACCCGAATTGTTGTGGGATGACAAGAGGGTCGCCGTCTGTGGGAAACAAATGGCGCCTCAAGCGCACGAGAATAACTCGTTCGAAAAGTTTGCCCATGGCTGTGATTGGAGGGGAGGTGGTGAGGTTTGCCTGGCTTGGGAATGCCAATGACAGTTGCCTCTTTCCAAGAGGTGGGAAAGTAACTGAATTCGAAGCAGGCGTTAAAGATAATGGCCAGTAAGGCGATTACCTGCTCCGGGAAGTGTTTGAGGGCTTGGTTGGAGATACCATCCGCACCCGGTGCTTTTTTGGGCTTAAGTCCTTTGATGGTAGATGAAATCTCATCTTTGGACACAGTGATAGGGTCAGAGGCGGTAGGGGGCGAGTTCCTGCGTTGGACCTCGTCCTCCACTAGTTGGATGTGTAAGGGGTCAGTGGGTTGTGAGCTAGGAGAGCATTGAGCGGCGACGCTGTCAGCGAAGCACTCAGCCTTTTCTTCGTCCTCGAAGGCAATGGAGCCGTCGGGACGAGACAGAGGGGGAGTATGGGTTATAGCGTCTATCCGGAGGGCTCTCGCAATCCGGTAGTATGCTGTGTGGGAGGGAGAGATTTTCTCCATGAGATTGCCCTTTTCGTGGTCTCTGTAATCTTGGAGGCGGTAACGCAGTTTGCGTTGAAGGCGGTGGGCCGCGAGTCTATATTCGGGAGTGGGATAGCGTGCAGCTCTGCGGAGGGCAGCTTTTTTGGCTTTTAACAGGTTGCTAATATCTACGGGAAGATTAGTTTTAGCAACCGGGACAACTTTTTCATTCTCTTTAAGAGAGGATGTTATAAGTGAGGTGAGATTTTGGACCGCGGTGTCTATTTTCCCCGTAACGTCGAAGGCGTCGGAAGAAAGGGTTATGGGAGGGTCCGGAGAGTCTATAGCCGAGGCTAGAGACTTCTTGAAGCCCTTCCAGTTGGTGTAGGTTTTGGAAGTGGGAGTTGGAGATGGCTGATGGCCAAGAAGTAGGGATACAGGACGGTGGTCGTATCCTAGATCGTTGAGAGACTCGATTGCTCTAAGGTTAAGGGACTCCTTTAACTAGAGCAAAATCTAGCACATCAGGAGCGTAGTTAACAATGTCGGGATAGTGGGTGGCAGTGAGGGGGCTGTAGACAGTCAGGTCGAGAGACTGAGTGATATTGAGCAGCACCCTGCCACTACTGGTAGTAGTGCGGCAGGTCCATTCAGTATGCTTGGAGTTAAAGTCTCCAAACATAATGACTGAGTCGCCTAATGCAAGGATGGCTTCGAAATCACACTTAACGGGGAGGGTTCCGCTAGGGATATAGCAAGAGGCTATAATGATTGACTGGTGTCCAGTCATAGCTAATCTCGTGATAGTGGCTTCCATACTGGTAAGCGACGGAGTAGATATGTGGGAGCAATGAAGGGACTTTTTGTAATAGATGGCAGTACCGCCGCCTTTGCGGTCGGGTCTATCGTTACGTAGAAGTGAGTAATTTTTAATAGTAAGGCCTTTAGAGACCTTGGGGCTGAGATGGGTCTCCTGTAGGAGGAGAAGATCGGCTTCGCGATCTCGAAGAAATAACCTAAGCTCTGGGAGGTTATTTCGCAAACCGCGGATATTGAATGAAACAAGCGACAAACCCTTTGGTTTGATACGACCGTGAGATATTGCGGGAGCAGAGGGCTCCGCCATAGTTTAATTACAAAGACCTTAGTAGGTTGATGTGCTCAGTAAGAGCAAGGAGACGGTCCTGAGGGGACTGAGCTGTGCGCAGTTTACGCGCAAGGATAAGGATTTCATCTAAATTGATCCTATTGAGAGTGTTATACACTAGGTTTAAAGATTCTACTACAGAGTCTGTCCATTTTTGGGGGTCGGCGGAGGGCCGCGGGATATTTGATTCCTTTTGGAACCAGGGGTTTATTGGAAGCCGCGCAGGCTGAGAGAGCGGAAGGCTCATAAGGGGCCAAGGAGGGCCCTGAGGTGGCCGATAGGGGCCCTGTGGGGGCCGGTAGATGCCCTGTGTGGGCTGAGATGAGCCCTGAGGGGGGCTGAGGTAGGGGCTGGCCCTGGCTGGGCTTGCGGCTTACAAGAGCCGGGAAGGTTCGGTCATTGACCTGGGGTGGAGCTTTGCGACTCGGAGATGGGCGAGGAGCGCGAGGGCAACCTCTAAAATTAGCCGGATGGCCTGTTTGTCCGCAAAGGACACATGAGGGTGGGGATTCGGCGTTTTTGGGCCGAGAGCACTCTTTCGAGTGATGGGGTTCTAGGCACTTAATGCACCTGGGTGGAGCTGAGCAGTTGGCTGCCGCGTGCCCGTAGATTTGGCAGCGGTGGCACTGCGCTGGGTAGCCGCGCCGGTGTGGGGCTTCGACCTTAACACGCGACAGGCCGCACACAGTGCGTACCTCGCGGAAGATGGCCTTCGCCTCCGGCACATTGGTGAGAACGAGGAGGGTGAGGTTAAACCTTTCGCCCCTGCTGCTGTGCATTTTATGCACAGCTTCTATGGGGAAGCCTTGGGATTTAAGGTCTTCCAGAATGTCCTCGTTTGCGAGTTCATAGGGAACTCCGCGGAGGACTGCCTTGACCTTCCTTTCTTCGGCGAGGGCGTATGTGTGATAGGACACACGTTCGGCCGTGAATAGGCGGGTTATATTTCGGAAGTCTTCTATAGACGCCGGCACTATTTTAATGGCCTCGCCGACATTGGTGGCTTGGTCATATTTGAAACCCTTATCGTAAAGGGTTTTGGATATTTGAGTGAATTTGGCCTTGTCTCTGAGAAAGACAGGGGGCGAGACTTGGTTTTTAGCCAATTTGGGAGCGCAGCGGGTTACTGGCTTGGCGGTAGTGTCTTTCGACTGAGAGGCTGCAGCGTTTGGGGCTGCGGAAGTAGGGGCAACGATAGGAGCTGCGGAGGCAGAGGCAGCGACGGAGGGTGTGCGGGCGGCGGCGGCGGCGGCCGCTGAGGCGGGGGAGTGCGAGAAGTGGCAGCGCGTTTCGGGCCGCGCTTTGATTTTACTAGCGTGAATTGGGCTGAGTCGGTTATGGTTCCTTCGGAGTCGGATGAATCTGAGGAGCCGGTGGAGCTGAGGGCGGTCCTCTTTCGGGAGGAGGAGGTAACGGACGTGGTGTCCGAGTGCTCCATATCGGAGTCGGGGGACGCGGGCAAGTTGGTCTGCGGGGCAGCCGTTTGGGTCGCGAGGAAAGCCGCGACGGCGGGCGGGGGTACACATGCCTTAGAGGCAGCGGGGAGGAAAATGGCTTTGGCGAGAAGGGTCTCGTCAATTTGGGCGGTTGTGGGTATTCCTGCGGCTTGGATCATTTGTACGATCGTGGCCGCAACTTGGCTCATGAGTGAGCTTATGTCTATGGAAGACATGTTGATCTGGACAGGGGGGGGGGTGACGTTTTATTCTATGAAAACTAGAGGTCCCTATTCTGAAAAGAACAGGGCCTTGGGGGCAGATGGGGAGGACTGACGATCTATTCCCAGAAGCTGGGGTCCCTATGTTCTGAAAAGAACAAGAGCTCGCTCTGAGAAGAGCAAGAGACGATCTTCTAAGAACAGTATATACAACAATACAACAAGTAACAGTATAACAAAAACAATAACAGAAAAATTAAAAATAAAACAAAACAAGCGAAACGCGCTCAAGCCTCCCCGTCGGAGCAAGGGGGCAAGAACGATGCGAAAAACAAAGTGACTCACCAACGGCGTCTGCTCGGCCGGTGTTAGCCGGGGAGAGCGGGGCGCGTGGGCAAACGGTTGCGCTACCGAAGGGTCGGAGGCGCGAAAGAACTGTATGCACGACCGCTCGGGGGCGGCGCGCTAACGGAACTCAGGTTGTCGCTTTCAAGCTGTTTCTAAAATACATTTTGTAAATATTTTGTGACCATTGACAAAAAAGTCCCGCTGGGTTTCTTGCTGGTTCTTCCCACGACAGAGGTTTTTTTTTGAACCAATGGTAAAGTAAAAATGACTTTCAATAAGATTTAGAACATGTGTATTAAAATGAATAAAAAAATATTCTATTCTATTCTATTCTAGATTTTTATACAAGCTGTTAAATAGAAGACTTTAAACTGTATACCTACTAAAGGATGGAAGAATCTATAGGTAAAAAAAGCACTCGTATAACGTCCACGTTACACCTATCAGCCTGTAACTTTGAGTATTCAACCAAATACTCAAAGGTCTGTAAACATTCACGCGCAAATTAAAACAAATCCTAATGATATAGCAAAAGAGGTTGAAAATATACGGAAAAGAAAAACAAAACGAGTACATACAATATTTTATTATATTAAATTAAAGTATGTAAATATATCATAAAATCGTTACTGTTAATTATTTTTTCATATTCACGAGTAACTGGTTATTATCGGTAAGCACCACAAGAATTAAAGCATCTTTAAAGTCGACTCTGAAATGAAAAGAAAAAAAAACTTAAAATTTTATATTTACACAGTTTAAGGGCAGGCAGAGGTTTATTGATAATACATCCATAATGTGTTGTAGTTATTTTCTTTAGATGTAATAGAAGGCCAGTACGTAAAATTATTCTTTGTAGCAATTGTATTGTCAAATTATTCCAGGAAAGATAAACCGAAGAAAGTTTTTCTTTCAATCGGGTTTTGGTTACTCGATATTATAAACTGCCTAGTTGGTCTTGTGGTTTAAACGTGACTGCTGATTATAAAACTCCGAGAGTTTGAATTACGGGTAGAGCAAAAAAAGTTATTGAGTTTTTCGTCAAGTATTTCTCACCCTCGAGCCTCAGAAAGCACGTAAAGTCGTTGGTCCTGTGTCTGATCTCTCTCCAGTCGTGTCGGTTTACCGTCCCATCGGACTATGAGAGTGAGGGAATAGAGAGTGTACCTGTGCTTGCTCATACACTTCGGCACTATAATCCTGTCCAGCGCCGATGGCCAGTCTCCGTTAACATTAGTATTAATATACACAAATATGGACTCTTAAATCTCATCATCATACTTTAAATTATGTATGTGTGATTTTTTATATTCGCTTCAAAGACTAGTTACCTCAGGCCCAACATGTATAGCAAGCATCATGTCATATTCGTTAGCACCGATGAAGATCTGCGCGAAGCCATTGTTGCCGACCGTCACCGTCTTGCCGCGACACGAGTTGTTCACTTTATCACCTGATATTACATCGCAGTATGTACCCGCTGGAAGACAGGTCTGTAATATAATAGGTAAGCTTCAAGTCTCGCATCATAAAATAAAACTTTTCTTTAATAAACATAACCTAACCTAACCTAATCTAATAAACATAACCCCACTAAGACTCCTCCTACTTTTAAGACTAAGATTTTCTCCTGTATTGTGGAGGCAACTTTCATACATAAATTGCACAAACATCCAGACCGAAATAATTATTTGTGGGCTTTACAAACACTTACTCCAGGTGGGATTCGAACACGTGGCCTTGGAAGCGCCACAGCTAATCGCTTAGTAACTGTGCTGTTAAACACAGTAGTTTCAATGTTTCTTATATAATAATCACGCCGAGTGTCAAACAACAGTAGAGCGTCGGTTCGAACCCGGCATTCGACGACTATCGTAAACCGCTCTTAACACAAGCATTTTAAGCTTACCAGAAATGGTTGAAGGGAATATAAGTAATGTTAATAGCAAAGCAATTTTATAAGAAAAAATATTTGTCGGATATTTAGAATATCCGCCGCTACCACATGGCGATTTTCATCCTGTGGCTTTCGTAGGAGGCGAGACTAGAGAGACCAAAAAGATTCTAGCAAATGGCGGTATGCCATTTCGTATGTAACAAAGCAAGGCAAGTTTTGGGGAGAAACATAAAAGCTCCGAGACAACTGGTACTGCTTTCGCCATTCCGCCTACTTTATACGGATTGATAAAGAAGTAGAACTAATATTTAACATTGTCGTCAATTAATAAACATGAAAAAACGTCATTATCTCGGTATGTTGATTTGTTGATAAATGAAGTAATTTTAATATAAAAAGAATATAAAAAAATAAAGTATGATATTTGCAAAAACCTAGAATACTTATTTTGTCGATGTAGTGGAGAAAATTAAGCACGGTTTGGTAACTTGTGCTACGGTATTGAAAAACGAAAAAAAAACGAGTGTGCTTATGATATGACCACACGACTGAAGTATTATATATATACAATATGTAACGTAATTAACACACACCCTCAGACACTCCAATTAGTATATTATGTTATAATCGTAATACATACACTGAATTTTTAGTTAAACATTTTTATGCACTGATCATTTATCAAATTAGTTATACTAATTCCGGAAGAATGTTGTGGTCACAGTACAAATCCACGAACGCAAAGACTTTAACGTGCCTGAAATAAAGTTCATTTTTCTTTATTTTTATTGAATGACAGAATTAGTAATAATACAAATAAAACTGCACTCTTAAAAGTCTTATTGCCTTATGTTACGGTCCATTTCAGTTTCTTTCGACTGTACAGATTTAGTGTGTATGTAATTTACGTAGCTTTAATTATTTTTGGGATAAATTGGGAAAAATTACGATTCAGTAAACGATTCTGAACAAACTACTTTCTAAAGTGCGTTAATTACGTTAATTATATTACATGTATATATATATATATATATATATATATATATATATATATATATATATAACTATGACTGGCTATGAGAGAGAGAGAGAGAGAAAGAAAATGTGCGCGCGCACTGCTCTCTCTTGCCCGCCTAAATTCCCGACTCAACTCCCGTTCGCCTCGCGCCATCATACTTTTCGTAACGCTTTCGTCCATGACGTCGTTCGTACATGCGTTACTTTAAATAATATAAAATACTCATGTATGAGTATTTTATATTATTTAAAGTAATGTTTGTTTATATTATACCATTCAGCAGATTGTGGTAAAATTTTGTCAACCTATAACATGCATTTCCGCAAAGATTAAAGACATAGCACAATTAACTTATGGTAGGTGACGCGCGTATTGTACCGACAAAATTTGAAAGTTATATATCACTCAACTTCAATTAATGTATTATTATTTCTAATTAAACGATATTAGTCCTCCAAATTTAAAACGATATTTCCACAATCATTTTACAAGATTTGTTTTTAACCCTTCAAGCGCCATAAAAATCCCATGCAGTCGCATGCGCCCGGCAAATCCCAAGTAATCGCACGCGACCGCATCCACCCACAGCACTTAAAACCATTAAGACTTATATTTAGAGACTACTTTTCCTTGAAGAAGTTTATAAAATCTATACAAAATTCTCTATCTTGTGATCTAAACTAAAGTCAGGTTTTACATCATTACAAAAAGTATTTTATTGTATTTTGATAACAAAAAAATCATATCAAGCGAATATCGGCAGCGTGAAAATCACAATATTATTTACGTAAAAAGATAAATTATATTCACACAAAAACTTTCATTACAATTTTATAATAAAACACTACACTAAAATACTAGAAAAATCCAAAAATCAACACAATAACATTCACGCGAAAATGGCGTACGAAATGAACGTAGATTATAAATAAGTATTCATAGGATAACAGTTTTTATTGCACTAAAGGATAGAGTATTTTATATTGATTATATAATAGCGCTTTGGCGTTAGCCAAACTTCTTCATAGAAAAGTAGTCTCTATATGTAAGTTAGACTAGTTAACCCATAAAGGGTTAAAGTGCTGTGGGTGGGTGCGACCTCATGAGACCGCTAAGGATTTGACAGAATATGGCCGCGGACTCATGAGACCGCTAGGGGGTGGAGAAAGTTAAAAAATATAAAAATTATAAAGTAGTACTTTTAACAGCGACAGTTGCCTAATGGCAGGGAGCGGACCGCGAACTCGTCTCTCGCGAGATCGTAGGTTCAAATCCACTATTTGACTACTGGCGTGAACCACTCGTAACACAAGCAATTTAAGCTTACCGCGAGTGGTTAAGGGGAATATTAGTAATGTTTATAGCATTGTTAATATTCTTTTATTAAAAAAAAAGTACTTGCAAAAACACATTATAATTAATTTTCCCGTTAGTTAGTTACCTGCAAATTTTGGTTGAAGTCCCAATTGTCATTGTTAAATGCAATAAATGCGTTTCCTCCTCGGCAGAAAGCGATCTGATTACTTCCATTATCCCACCAATCGTTCAGTCCAGTGGTTCCTGCTGCGTTTCTAAAGCCTACCATTGCGTAAATTTGTCTCCAACGGTGCTGGCAAACCCATCCGTTGCCGCAAGTACCATCCTTAAAAAGAATACCAGCGGTTTCGGTCAAGAAGATTTATGACAGAACGCGTGTTATAGAATCCAGTTACACCGGATAACTTTCAATATTTTAATTAAACTTTCAATTTGATAATAAAAGAAGAGATTAAAAATTAGAAAATTTAGTTTATGTGTATCTTTCTTTACACATGAAAATATCAATGAATTTCTCGGACCTTGAACCAGCCGCTCAATAAAAGTTTACTTCAAATAGTAGTATGTATTTATTGATTAGTCAATTTGATAGTGTCAAGGAAAAGACAATGAATTTGAGCAAGTGATTTTTTTTAACTTTCATTTGTAAAAAAATTACATACATACTACATTTTTTATTTATTATATTCCTACATTGTCATTCGATTCTGAACTATGTTCAAAATTTCAAGCCCAGCTCATTGGGAAGTGTCGGAAACTTGAGTCGTAAGATTCCAGCCGCAGCGACAGACATAAAAACAAACACGGATAAAAACGTGGTAAAAACATCACTGTCATGAATTTCTTCACTTATTACATCCTATTTTTGTTCCACAGTAAAAAAGTCACCTGGTACCGGTATGGTATTTTCTATGGTTGTTAAAATGTTTTTATGTGTATGTCGCAGCTAACTAGCTTAATTAGCCATTCAATCAACAGCCTAGCCTCTTTTCAGCGCCGCACCGCGCCGTTCAACTAGCGGCCTGAATGATATTCAGCCCATGCGTTTCAGTCGCAGTTTACCTTATATTATTAAATATACGCGGCTTTAAGGTGGCCTTTGGGCCACCCCAGCCGCACCCTGACCTACTGTCGCTGATATTACAAAATAGTTGTAATGTTGTATTAGAAGCAGCGGCTGAATATCATTCAGGCCCCTAGTTAAACATAAAAAAGGCTAAGCTGTTAATTAAACGGCTAATTAAGCTAGTTGGCTGCGACAGCTTGTACTATTTTCTTTAAACTTTGGAAAACACAGTCAAATTTGTTGTTTGACGACGCCGTATTGACAGTTTGGAGAGTTTCAGCGTTAGGTGGCAGAAGGTGGAACTAAATTGATATGAACTGGCTAGATAAGTAATGAAACGTCATCGATCCAACTCATTTGCCTAGCTGTTTGATCAAATGGCTGAGTATTATTCAGGCCGTTAGTTGAACGGCGCTGTTTAGTAAAGAGGCTAGGCGATTGATTGAACGGCTAATTAAGCTAGTTGGCGCTGTCTATTCTAAACTCTAAACCAAAAGAATTAGTACAATGCAACTCAGTATACAATTAATGAATGGGAAATATATATTTGTTTAAATTTTTGATATTTAATATCACTATAGCTTTATACTTACGGAATTAAGTGAAGGTGAAATAATATTTTCATCACGATCCATCGGAGGTCCAATTTCTGAGTCCCAGAAATCAAAGCTGCTCATAACTTGAGGTTCACCGTAGGGATGAGCTAGAAGAAACGCTATTGCCCCTTTGTATTGTCGGGGTTCTTTGTATGTCAGGATTCCACCGCCGCCACCGTGACCTCTTTCATTGTCGTGATTTTCGATAAAAGTCAATGCATCGCCGTGTGATAAAAGTCCCCATTGAGGACCCCAGCTTGACAGCCATTTTAGCTGATTATTTCCTCTGAACGCGTTACTAAGTTCCGATCCAGCTAAAAATTCAGTTACAGCTCCTAGCGGTGTGTATTCATTTCGGCTAATGGCTTCGCCTCCATAATCGATGACTTCTTGATAGATGAATGGACGCGCGTTTGGCGGGAATCCGTGTGCACTATTTAAGTTGTTTAGTCGATCGTATATGATCTGCAAATCATTGGGCCACATGTGTTTCGCAGCGTCGATTCTATAGACAACAAGGATATTTGTTAATCTTAGTAGTTAAAATATATAAAACAGGTCCTCTTACAGATATTTTCCCTTAAAAAATTTCGTACCTAAAACCAGCAACACCCAAGTCAATCAATTTATTCATGAAGTCTACAATTCTTTTCCTTACATGTTCATGTCCCTGATTTAGGTCTTTTAATCCAACAAGCTCACAGTTTCGGACCTGGGAAATAAAAAAAATGGTTTACCTTTTTAATTTTACGTGTCATATTAACGCCAGTTATTACTCATCTGATATACGACAGCTAAATTCTTATGTATATTTACATGAATACAAAACACATTAATACTTTTTTAAAGACTTTTTTATGTTACTTTTATGTTTAATTTCAATTTTATTCGTACTTAGCACTATAAAAACTGTAAAATAACTTTTATTCTAGATATATAACACTGTTTAAATGATCAAGGAATATAATGCAGCACTTTTATAATATTGGTTACTTACTCTCGATGCATTATTCACATAGTCCATGCCATCGATTCCACATTGAGGCCAATTGAAATCTTCCGCGGAGTAGGGCACTGCAGGGTAGGACCAGTCTTTATACGAGGCTGTGTTACCCGCTGTTCCATAGTTTTCCGGAGGCTCGCCAGTCATGTGATTTATAACTGCGTCCGCGTAGATCCTACAATGTTTAAAATTGTCACTAAAAATATTTATATACTACATTCTGCAAGAGATTCCAAGCAATTCAAATTAATACTTTAAGTGACCAAAACGTCAAGCCTATATCGCACTGCTAAGCACAACTCTTCGAAATTTTTCTTTCACTTCTAGGCAGTGATAAAACGAAACTTATTAAAAGTGTCGCTAACAGTTTTTGTGATGCCGGCGAAGATAAAGTCGGCTTGCTCGGGTTATTCCGTTCATTCACCCTGGGGTAAATACTCGGATACGCATGTTCTTTTACCCACCCCAAACGGGGTGGATGATTGGAATTCACTTTTATTTGTTATTTCTACCATTTTACCCTACTTTTTACCCTGAATACAGTTCAACACATGCACTTTAATTATTAATTATTTTTTAATAACTACAAATATTATCAAAAACTTATTGCGTGTTGCTGTTACCATTACAGCCTGTATTAAAATCCACGCATCGTTTTAAATAATATTGCGTAATTTATAAATTCTGCAATATGCTCAGGCAATTAACAACGCTAATTTCATTATTAAGTAGGCGTTTTTTGATATTCAAGATATATTTGTCACTTTTTAAGTAAATTTGCAGTCGTTTTTTAATTTCTTTGCTACCACAGTTAGTTAGTGAAGAACTGGGCGTTTTTTGCAAGCATTTGAAAAACGTTACGATTTGAAGTTTGTCTTTAACTTCATTTTAAATTATTTTATGCCAAGATTCTAAAAAATCTACAATCCTGTGAGGTACTTCTTTTAATACAGCGTTGACTTTTCAAACATGAAGTATCTATGTATATATTTTTATAGGTAATGTCTACTAGTAGGTATTTTGAGTCAGTTTTTATCATGTTTCTATTAATGAATGTATACAGCCGAGGTAGAAAATCGGAAGAAAAATAATATATACGAATTCCGATTATCCACACCGTCTGGGGTGGATAGATGAACGCGCTTTTCAGAGTATCCACCCTAGGGTGGATTCTTAAGCGTGGATGAACGGAATAACCCAGTTGTTCGGTTACTATGGATATTAACGTGAATCTGATATATCTATGCATTATCTATACTATTTAATATATTATTTAATATATTTAATATATAATATAATATTGCCAACCCGCTCGCCAAGCGTGGCAACTATGGCAAATACCCCCCCAATGAATAAATACACAAACAGACGGCCCCCAGTCCCCGGCGGTCCCGCTATTCCTGGCTACGGTGGCGACCATGGTAACGGCGGGGCAGGGGGGTGCTAAGAATCTCCGGTGGAGGTTCGGTTGCCACCTACGACGACTCGACCTGGCAACATATAACGCACGCACCCTGAGGACTGACGAGAAGATACTGGAGCTGGAAGAAGAGGTAGACAAGTTGCGCTGGCATATTATTGGATTATCCGAGGTCCGAAGAGAGGGGGAGGACACGGCAATCCTCGAGTCCGGCAACTTGTTCTATCACCGGGAGGGCGACCATCTGTCCCAAGGAGGTGTCGGATTTATCGTCCACAAATCTCTCGTCAACAACGTTGTAAAGATTGGGAGTGTGTCGACGAGGGTCGCGTACCTGATATTCAGAATCACCAAACGGTATTCGCTGAAGGTCATTCAGGTTTACGCACCAACCTCGGCACATCCCGATGAGGAGGTGGAGGAAATGTATGAGGATATTTCCAGAGCCATACATTCCTCCAAAACCTACTACACGGTGTTGATGGGAGACTTCAACGCAAAACTGGGCACAAGAGAAAGCGGTGAGCTGAAGGTAGGGAAATTTGGAGTAGGGCAACGGAACCGAAGGGGCCAGCAGCTGGCCGACTTTATGGAGAAAGAGGGACTCTTTATGATGAACTCTTTCTTCCAGAAGCGGCCCCACAGGAAGTGGACCTGGTCGAGCCCCGACGGTTCGACAAAAAATGAGATTGACTTCATTATGACGACCAGACGCCAACTGTTCAGTGATGTCTCAGTGATCGCAAGGGTGAAAACTGGCAGCGATCACCGAATGGTTAGAGGCACACTGAACCTAAACGTTAAGTTGGAGAGGTCTCGTCTAATGAAGTCAACGCTCCGTCCCCCTCGTGCTCTAATCCAGAATCCCGAAACCTTTCAGCTCGAGTTACGTAACCGCTTCCAGTGCCTAGAAGATTGCAATGCAGTGGACGATATGAACGACAAGCTCGTGGAAACTGTCCATGCGGTCGGAGCTAAGTTCTGCAAGACCCGCCGCAGAAGAACACAAAAACTCTCCGATCACACTCTTAATCTCATGGCTGTTAGACGGGAGATGAGGCTGCAATCGTCAACAGATTTGACAGCATACAGGCAACTGAACAGACAGATCTCCAAATGCATACGGCGAGACTTACGCAACTTTAATACTTCTCGTATTAAAGAAGCGATCGAGCGGAACCAGGGCTCCAAAGTCTTTGCCAGAGATCTGTCTGCCAGAAAGAGCCAACTGTCAAGGCTGAAGACTGAGTGTGGCAACATCGTTTCCGGGACACCTGAGATTTTGAGTGAGATTGAGAGGTTCTATGGGCAGCTGTACACATCATCGTTGGAGCCACACGCAAGTGTGAGTAACGATCCAAGAGCAAGTCTTATCCGACACTATTCCGATGATATCCCGGACGTCAGTCTGAGCGAGATTAGAATGGCTCTCCAGCACCTTGAAAACGGCAGGGCCCCAGGCGAGGATGGAATTACAGCGGAGCTTCTGAAAGCGGGTGGGACACCGGTACTTGAAGTCCTTCAGAAGCTCTTCAATTCCGTCCTCCATGGTGGCACTACTCCAGAGGTGTGGAGCAGAAGTGCAGTGGTCTTGTTCTTTAAGAAAGGCGACAACGCTCTCTTAAAGAACTACAGACCGATTTCCCTTCTGAGCCGCGTCTACGTGCTGTTTTCGAGAGTCATTACGAATCGTCTCGCACGTAGACTTGACGACTTCCAGCCTCCCGAACAAGCCGGTTTCCGAAAAGGCTTCAGTACCATAGACCACATACATACCCTGCGGCAGATTGTACAGAAGACTGAAGAGTACAATCTGCCACTTTGCCTGGCGTATGTGGACTATGAGAAAGCCTTTGATTCCGTCGAAATTTGGGCGGTGCTACAGTCCCTTCAGCGGTGCCAAGTTGACTGTCGGTATATCGAAGTGCTGAAGTGTTTGTACAGTAGGGCTACGATGGCTATCCGAGTACAGAACCAGAGCTCGAAACCTATCCAACTGCAGAGAGGTGTAAGACAGGGTGACGTTATATCCCCGAAACTCTTCACCGCTGCATTGGAAGACGTTTTCAAGCTACTGGACTGGAAAGGATACGGTATTGACATCAATGGCGAGTACATCACTCACCTTCGATTTGCCGACGATATAGTCCTTATGGCAGAATCGCTGGAGGACTTAAGCACTATGCTCAATGACCTCAATAGTGCCTCCCAACGGATAGGTCTTAAGATGAACATGGACAAAACAAAGATCATGTTCAATGTCCATGTCACACCTATGCCGGTAGTTGTTGGGAGCACTATGCTCGAAGTTGTTGACGAATACGTTTACCTGGGACAAATAGTCCGACTAGGTAAGTCCAACTTCGACCGAGAGGTCAATCGACGGATTCAACTCGGCTGGGCAGCGTTCGGGAAATTACGGCATATCTTTTCGTCAGGTATACCTCAATCTCTAAAAACTAGATTGTACAACCAGTGCATGTTGCCAGTGATGACTTACGGATCTGAGACGTGGTCCTTCACCGCTGGCCGTATGAGGACGCTTAAAGTCGCTCAGCGAGCTATGGAGAGGGCTATGCTCGGAGTTTCTCTGCGTGATAGACTCAGAAATGAGGATATCCGCAGTAAAACCAGAGTGACCGACATAGCCCAACGGATTAGTAAGCTGAAGTGGCAATGGGCCGGCCATATAGCTCGAAGAACCGATAACCGATGGGGAAGAAAGGTTCTCGAGTGGCAGCCTCGTACCGGTAGGCGTAGTGTAGGGCGACCCCCCCACTAGATGGAGTGACGACCTGGTAAGACATGCAGGAAGTCGATGGATGCAGGTGGCTCAGGACCGTGCTTTGTGGCATTACTTGGGGGAGGCCTATGTTCAGCAGTGGACTTGTGAAGGGCTGTAATGATGATAATGATGATGATGATGATGATGATCTATACTATGCATTATATATACTATGGTATCTATGCATTACTACAAAGCGCACACAACTAGCTCAGTAACATTTCTGTTATAATTGTGATCAAAAAGTTAAACAACAGGTTTGCGGTTATATGGAATACAATAAAGAAGGTTCTATTAATTAAATAATTACTAATAAAACAACACACCTGACACCAGCAGCATTGCAACGTCGTACCATGTCAGCAAATTGCTGTTCGTTACCTGATCGCGTTACTAGCACGTACGAAATGGGTTGGTAACGTTCCCACCATGGTCTATTGTATGTGCGCAGAACTACGTTCTCATTCGGAGGAGATATCTAGAGGTTAGAACAAAAAGAAATGTCACCATTTGATTATTCCGCTACTAACGAAGACATGAAAAAAACTCAAATTGAAATTGCTGCTTGGTTGCCTAATTTTAAAAATGATGTAACCAAAATATAATTTTTGAATAATTCGATAACAGAAAAAATGACTGTTAGGGGGTGTAACTTCCTTTTTTTTAATATTAGGGTAACAAATGGGAACACAGTAGACACACAAAAAAAAAAAAAAAAAAAAAAATTAAAAAAAAAGAGATGATATACATACAATATAATATATAATATATTCAATAGTAAGTGGATGCTGTGGCCTACAAACACCTACTCCTCGATTAACAATCAAAATGCAGTTGCTGTGTCATCCTTGAGGACTAAGACGAAATGCCTCGTTACTTTTGACGTTTCTAAGGAAACTAATGCATTTGCAGCGTGATTGTACCACGTAAATGCTAGCCTCGTCTGCAAGCGATGCACCCTTCTAAGGAAACATTCCTATGATCGAAATAGAGCGGACGAATCGAAAATATCTTCACACATACACACGTCACAGCCTATTAAAGTCCATTGCTGATCATAGGGTTCCCAATATTAAGGGAGGATATTTGCCATAGTGGCTACGCTTGGCAGACGGATTGGCAACCGTAGTTTTTATTTTTTTAGTTGTAATTACGAAGACCCTGCTGCCCATGCCCTAGTTTATTTCCCTATATAATATTATGGCCTATATTTAAATATTAATTATAGAATGTCGATCTGAAATATCTTACCTGGATGCCGCCATATCCTTTTGGTCCTAAGAACCTTTCGCATTCGTCGGCGATGTCGTTCCACTTCCATTCGAAAAGATGCACGTTTACTGATCTTCCCGGAGCATAGTATGGGTTCTTGTAAGCCCTTGTTAAAGTTATTAGTAATAGTCCCGTAAGGGTTGATCTCCACTGCAATAACCAGTTAAAGCTTACAAGCACAGATTAAAAACACATGAATGTGTAAAAATTAATAATTTAAGTTACCATATTTTAAAGTATCATCATCATTATCATAACATCATTCGGAAGTCCACTGCTGAACATAGGCCTCCCCCAAGGAATGCTACTAAATATAACCCTGCGCCACCTGCATCCATCCACTTCCTGCATGTCTTACCAGGTCGTCACTCCATCTAGTGGGGAGTTGCCCTACACTTCACCCATCTGTACGAGGCTGCCACTTGAGAACCATTTTCCCCATCGGTTGTTGGTTCTTCGAATTATATGACCGGCCGACCGACTCTGATCCTACCGCGGATATTCTAAGTTTATCACGGAGATAAACATCGAGTATAGCCCTCTCCATAGCTCGCTGAACAACCTTGGGCTTCCTCATATGGTCAGCGGTGAAGTATCACGTCTCAAATCCATGAGTTATCACTGGCAATACGCACTGGTTACAATCTCGTTTTCAAATTTTGAGGTATACCTGACGAGACGATGTGTGAACGCTGCCCAAGCGAGTTAAGCCCGTCGATTGACCTCTCGGTCGAAATTGCACTTACCTAGTCGGACTACTTGTCCCAGGTAAACTTACTCGTCAGCAACTTCGAGTTTAGTGTTCCCAACCAGCTGAATGATCATGACCTATCCGTTGGGAGCCACTACTGAAGACTATATCGTCGGTAAATCTAAGGTGAGTGATATACTCGCCATTGATGTTAATACCGTATCCTGTCCAGTCCAGTAGCTTGAAAACGTTTTCACCCTCTCTTACTCCTCTCTGTAGTTGGATGCGTTTCGCACCCTGTTTCTGTACTCGGATAGCCATCGTAGTACTACTGTACAGCACTTCGATATACCGACAGTCAACTTGGCACCGCTGAAGGGACTGTAGCACCGCCAAAATTTGGACGGAATCAAAGGGTTTCTCGTAGTACAATTTGTCGACGAGTATGTATGTCGTCTATGGTACTAAAGCCTCTTCGGAAACCGGCTTATTCGGAAGGCTGGAAGTTGTCGAGTCTGCCGGCGAGAAGATTCGTAATGACATTCGTAATTAATAACAAGACCTCCGCACTTCTGCTCCACACCTCCGCTTCGCAGTGCCAGTGAGTCAAGTCGATTGGAAAGAGCTCGGTCGCTGACGATTCGAATTGCTAAAATGAAATGATAGCAGTACCGTTCTTTACATGAAAAAATCTATTACGGGGATCCACATAAAAAACCAGAATAACTGACATAGACAAACGGCGACCGTTCGTATCAAATGACGTTGTTAATGTGACTAACTGGCTGCTGGCTGCGCCGACTAGCTAGATGATCATACATTGAGTCGATAGATGCAGGTGACTCAGAATTCAATCCATGTTTTGTCGTAACCTATCAAGAAGGCATAATATGGCGTATAGTGTACAAAATATTAAACAAGACAAACAAAATATACTATAGAAGAGAGACTAACAACGCCTAAATGGTAAGTCACCAATGATCATCATTACATCCCACCGCAATTAACGGCCCTGAGCTACCAGCATCCATCGATTTCTTGAATTTCTTACCAGGTCATCACTCCACTCTAGTGTGGAACAGTGGTACGTTTTGCTTACCAGTAAAAAGATGCTACTCGAAATACTTTCTTCCCCATTCGGTTGTCGGTTTTTCGAGCTACACTGGATACACTAGATCTACTGCGGATATCCTCATTTCTAACACTTACCACGCAGATAAATTCCGAGCCTCCTCCGTAGCTCGCTGAGTGACTACTACATTCCTCAAGTGGTCATCAATGATCATGATGAATTAATTTATAATAACGCTTTAGAAATCTTGCGAAATAGCAGGAACACTTTTGTATGGACTAATCGCCGTTCAAATTTTACGTAGAATTTTATTCAGTGTTAGTGTAAATACTATTAGATATTAAAACGATGGGTATAGTAGTGTGTTTGTAATAAACTTTTAAGAAGTAAAAACCGAATTTAAATAACTAAAAGGAATATAATGATCGATATCGACTGATGTGGTAACGAATAGCATAGTTTGCGAAGAATTTGTTGATTTTCATCTGGATCCCATCATCCGATCTTGACGAATTTTATATCTATTAAAACCGCCCCTGAGGTTTACTAAAATGAATTATTGAAATCGAACAACGTGGTAAAGAGATAGATATAATAGATAACATACATAAAAAAACATTCCGACGAATTGAGAAACTTTTTAAAATCGGTTGTAAATAATACAATGTATTATACAAATATGAAAACTGAAAAGTCAACGTTTATCCGAATTAGTATCTATTTCCTTTTTACTTCTAAAGAGTCGTTAGAGAAAGTAAAGCATGTATCACTGGGGTTGTACTTTCATAAATTACAAGGCAGCTAGCATAATATTACGTACAAATTAAAAAAGTTACACATACTTCTCATGCACTACTTACCATAATATCTGATGATATCAACACCGTACTGAATATTAAGTCCTCATTCGAGACCACCTATTTATAATAATCTGTAGATAATAAAATTATCGTGTAAATGGTTTTAGATCTTTTTAAATCGTGGGTATATTGACATTTAAGGGTTGTGCGTAAATGTTTGCAGTTTCAAATAACTTACAAATGTCCAGAAGATCCGCTGGTGAAAGTTAATTTCATAATGTGCGCCTTAGTTGTAGAAAATACCTGAAAAAATGAAAGGTAGTAAGTAGACTGCAAGAACTAGGTTACTGACAAAATAAATGTAATCAAATCTTTGTTCTAGTTAGTAATTATAATTAGTAATGTTTAATATATTATAAAATAAAATATGCCTCTCTCTGTCATTTATATTACCTAGGCTGCACTAAAAGTATCGGGAATGGAGTATTTCCACTGTTCCTGTCATATTAAAATCTTTTTAATTGAAAACTCCTTGGTTTTAAAAATCGAATACCATTTATTTATTTTAAAAAATTCTCGATCTTGTCACAAGGTTTTGTCAAACTTGTTTAGTCGTTGAGAAAATGGAATTGACTTGAGAAAATTCAAGAGCGATGATTTATTATGACTTTCGAAGTGGATTAACACAAAAACAGTGGGTTGACCGGATGATTTCTGCATTTGGTGATGAAGCCCCATCCAAAACCACAATTTATCGCTGGTTTGCTGAATTTCAACGTAAACGTGTCAAGCTCAGTGATGATCCCCGTAAAAGTCGTCCAAAAACTGCAGTCACCCAAGAAAACGTTGATGCTGTGCGTAAGCTGATTGAGGAAGATCGACATGTGACATACCGCGAAATTCAGGCAACTTTAGACATTGGCATGAGTCAAATACAAATAATCTTGCATGAACAATTAGGTGTAAAAAAGTTGTTTTCCCGATGGATACCGCATTCGCTCTGTGAAGAGCATAAAGCGGCTGGCGTTACTTCGTGCGTCAGAACTCTCGAAATATTCCACGCAGGATCCTCAAATGCTGTATACAACATCGTATCAGGTGACGAATCCTGAATATACGCGTACGAACCCAAAACAAATAACCTGTCACGAGTTTGGGTGTTCGAAAATGAGTTAAAGCCAACAAAAATTATTCGTTCACGGAGTGTTGCAAAAAAATGGTGCCCACGTTTGTCTCCAAAACCGGCCGTGTTACGACGATTCCTCTTGAGGGACAAAGAACGGTTAATGCAGAATGGTAAGTATGCTAGAATTTATTTGCCACAAGTCGTTTCTGAACTCCGTAAATACTGCTGCAACCGCCGCATCATCCTCCATGACGACAATGCGAGTTCTCACACCGCACATGGAACAAAAAAGTTTTTAGCGCAAGAAAACATAGAATTATTAGACCATCCGCCGTACAGCCCCGACTTAAGCCCTAATGATTTCTATACTTTCCCTAAAATAAAGAATAAATTGCGTGGACAGAGATTTTCATTACCTGAAGAAGCTGTGGACGCCTACAAAACGGCTATTTTGGAGACCCCAACTTCCGAATGGAATGGTTGCTTCAATGATTGATTCCATTGTATGGAAAAGTGTGTCAAATTTTGCGGAGATTACTTCGAAAAGCAATAAATACATTTTTAAATAGTAATGTTGTGTCACTTCCTTGATTCCCGAAATTTTCATTCTGTTTAATATATATCTTATTTCAAACTTAATAATATGCAACGACTGTACAAAGAATAATTACTCTTTATATAAAACGCAGCCCTAGATATGCCACACTACAACTCAATTAATCTGTGATATGCGCAGTCGTGATAGGTTGAATGCGACAATCTTACGATGGGATCAAATCCTACTTATCTGTAGCATATCTTCGGTATGACGTTTTGGTGAACAAAAGTAAGTAAGTATTTTTAAAATATTAATTATGTACATAAATTATTGTAAATATGTGCCCAAAATTCTTTTCAATATATTGATGTGTCATATTACGGAATTTATCGGATGATTTTCAGAAGAGTCGATGATATTGCTACCTAAGGCTAAACGAACATTACTAGTTATCTACGATCTCGTAATTACGTTCCAAACCTCTAATCAACAACAACAATACATTGAACCTAATCTTTATCGTTGGCTTTGTTCTTATCTAATAACCTTAGTTCACAGTTAGTGGCTTTGTATGACTTTGATTCCGTTCCATTTTTATCTAATACTGGGGTGTCTAAGGGCTCAAACCTTGGTCCAATTTTGCTTGTGATATGGCCTACACTAAAGACATTATCATTATTATCTTTAGATTTTTTTTACCCTAAGTGAGTGCTTAAAAATTTATTGAGCGACAATATAAAAGTAATTAGAGCTTTTTCTTGGAATTACAAACTCAAATAATTGTATTAAAAGTATAATACTACTTTAAAAGAAATAGTTGTTGCTTTTTTTATTGCTGAGTTTGCGACTATGGTATAATTAAAAATATATAATACTATGTCCGTTTAAAAGACTTCTTTGGTATCATCTATTGAAATAATAAACAAACTTACCTACATAAATAAATAGTTTCATGTTCATAATGCCAGACTTAAAATACCCAAACTAGGGATGGACATCAGTTCAAAGGTGCAAGACCTCTGGTAATGCAAGAATCAGTCTCTCTGCCAAGCATAATGTTGTGATGTCCAGTTACGAGCTGATTGATTTAGAAGAATAAGAAAAGTACATCATCGTAATAATTTACTGTAAGCAAGTTTCGGAATGACATAATGTTTCCAGACAGAGTTTCGGTCACAGCGGCCAGTCTCAATGGAGACACGCGAGCACAAGTACACTCGCTAAGATGAAACGGTTATCCCACATGATAGGAGAGAGATCAGGCGCAGGATTAAAGGCTACTTCTCGACTCCGGGCTGATACTTAGAATTTCTTGACAGAAAAACACAATAGGCCTGGTGTTGACGCGACGTGGAATTCTCACCCCGTATCTCATGATCAGCAACCGCATTTATGACCACTAGACCAACGAGGCTGTCGGAAAGAAATAAAATATAATCTAATACACATGTGGGTAAATTGTATCGGTAGGTATGTTTACTTAATCGTTCAGGCAGGATTGTTTTTAGATGGCGTTCCTGTGTCTAAAGCTTGAGATAAGTTGCAATTAATTCCTTGAGAACGCTTCTCTTTTTCCTTAAACTTATTGTCAGCGTTGCTAGAATGTAACAAATTGCGTTATTTCTCCCTGTTATATTGATTAAATACTATTGACGATATCAAGCTGAAGGAAGCAGTAAGGCGGCTAAAACCGAAGTCTACGGGTGGCCCTGATGGTATCCCTGTTTTTATAGCAAAGGATTGCATATTCGCTTAAGAGAATCCGCTCCTGTACCTCTTTAACTTGTCACTGACTCACTCTAAATATCCGGTATACTCCGGTTCCAAAAACTGATCATGAAAATGACGTTTCGTCGTTTAGACCGATCGCAGTCTTGTCAGTCTTTGCAAAATTATTTGAAATTGTCTTATGCCAGCAAATTAATAAGTAAACTCAGAATCTATTGCATGATAGTCAACACGGTTTTATTTATTTATTTATTTATTTAAAAACTTTATTGCACTTAAAATGTACAATAGGCGGACTTAATGCCTTTAGGCATTCTCTACCATCAACCACGAGCTAAGCAGAGAACTTTAGCAGGTGCCATAAAATATGAGGATAATTTATACGTGAATGTAAATATAAAAATACTCATACCATAAGTGTAAATACAAAAATAAATATACACAACTACAATTAACCTAAGTAATATATGATACATTACATACATAATGTTTAAATAGTACATAATACATACATTTTAAGTATATTTACATAAGAACATGTCATACTAAAATAATTTAAATAATTATGAAGTAATATAAGCAGAAACAATTAAATATGAAAGTTAGTTGCTGGAAGAAGAAAGGTAGTGATCAGTCACCATCCTCTTAAAGGTAGCAACAGAAGTCGGTTTTCTGATATGAGGGGGGTAATTTATTCCATAGCCTTATGGCCTCAGCGGCGAAAGACTGAGACATAAATTTGGTACGGCGAGGAAAAACACATAATGTAGTTCCCTCGGAGGATCGCAGGTTACGATCGTGAGAAGAACCCAAATATTGAAACTTACATTTCAGGTATTGGGGAGTGCGTGGATCATATAGGATTGAAAAAAGCGTGCGAAGAATTTTGATACATCTACGCTGATGGATAGGGATCCATTTAAGCTTAGAACGATATATGGATACATGATCGTATGTATTTACGAAGGCCAAAAATAAAATGGATGCAATTATTTAATAAACGACCAATTTGCACAGAAGTACTTGACTCACATCAGAGTAACACACATCAGCATAATCAATGACTGGTAAAACAAGCGTTCGCACCAACATAGCCTTAGTTTCGGTTGGAAGGAAATTCTTGAAACGATAAAGGCCACGCAGGGCAAATTGATGATGTGGGTAATGATTGGGAGAATGTTTTCAAGTATGGGGATAATCATATTTCTACTCACATCATCCAGTTGCTTTAGTGGAAAATTGATATTTGATTTAATGGAAAAAATAATTTTACGAAAATCTTCATCAGTTACTGGAGCAAAAACAAAGTAGTTTACGTCGATTTTGGGAAGTGATGAGATAAGAGAAATAGTTCTATGTTTAATGGAATTATCGACTTTAGTTGCCGAGGAGAAGTGCTTATTAAGATCATTGAGAGATATTGACCCCATATCAGGGCAATTCTTTTGTCTACCTAACCCAAGGGAATTAAGAAACTTCCAAGTGCCGGCTGGCGAAGAGCTTATAATATTCTTATAGATATGTCGGCGTTTTGTAGCTCGCACCATCTGATTGCATCTGTTTCTGGTAGCCTTATATGCGAGGGGTGATCCAAAAGTAATGATAATGAAAATAAAACACGGTAATTAAAGTTAAAATAATAATTTATTTTTCTACATAGTCTCCTAACAA